GGCTAATTTTTATATTTTTAGTAGAGACGGGGTTTCACCATGTTGGCCAGGCTGGTCTTGAACTCCTGACCTGAGGTGACCCACCCACCTTGGGCTCTCAAAGTGCTGGAATAACAAGTGTGAGCCACTGTGCCCGGTCAAAAATATACATTTCTTTATTTATACCTACCCATATTTAAATATACACACAAAGCTCACTAAACAATATCCTTTTAACAAAGGAATTCCCAAAACTTACAAAAAAATAGTTTACAATTGACATTATAAAGGGAACCTGGGGAAATCAGTCATAACTACAAGTCATTTTTTTTTTTTTTTTTGAGACAAAGCCTTGCTCTCTCATCCAGGCTGGAGAGCAGTGGCGCAATCTTGACATTACAACCTCTGCCTCCCAGGTTCAAGCAATTCTCGTGTCTCAGTCTCCCAGGTAGCTGGGATTACAGGCATGCACCACCATGCCCGGTTAATTTTTGTATTTTTAGTAGAGACGGGGTTTCACCATATTGGCCAGGCTGGTCTTGAACTCCTGACCTCAAGTGATCTGCCTATCTCAGCCTCCCAAAGTGCTGGGATTACAGGCATGAGTCACTGCACCCGGCCCTACAAGTAATCTTCAAACAGTTGATGGTTGCTGTAAATATTTTCCATGATTCTAAAATAACTTTGTTTTAAAAATATTTTATGAATATAGTGTATTCTTAACCTTGCATGCCTCACTATTCTTCACTCCAGCACAACAATTCCAAAGACCTTGATCAAGTAGCCCTGGGCTGGTAGACAGTGATTGACAACCCAGATTGACTACACGGTCTCAAGATGGATCCTGGCTTGCTTCCAGATTTGACTAATGCAAAGCTCTTGCATTCCTTTGCCTCCTCCTATACCAACTTTTCCCTCTGCCACATCATATACTATGAGAGAATGGGGTTGTTGGCATAACTTCAAGTTATATCACTGATTGAAATCTATCCCCAAGCAAACCTACTTTTATTTCAGATGAATACTCTCTAGCGATCTGAATTGCAGGGGCAGTAAAACAACTCTACATTTATGTGAGCATTCCCATCCCCCAAGGAATAGTTTTCCAGGCCTATAGATACCTTAGAAGCGATAAAGAGTTTGGTAAGCTAGAGTCTTTTTTGCAGCCTTCTAAAAAATCAGAATTCCATGTAATTGAGATATGATGGATTTGGAGCTTAACAACAAAAACAGCAAGAACTGCTTTAATAAAGTACATTCTAGGCATAATTTTCATCTAATAGTGGCCACCTCATAAAACTATGGTTAAAATGAGAATAGCCAACTTACAAATCAGAAGCGGCTGAGGTAGTAAGATGTGACTGCAGAGAAGAGCCGCAGGGAGAAGCTGACTCCATCCCACTGAGCCCTATGCCCGATCCTTCTCCAGCTCAACTACACAGGGCTCGCTCTCCTTTCTTCAGATGTCTGCTCAATGTCCGCTTCTCGGAAACGTACTTCACAAAATAATAACCCCAGCATTCCCCAACCTGCTTCCCTGCCGGCTTGCTTTGCCTTCTCTTCCTTCCTTCTTCCTCACCCTCCTTCATTTATTTGTTTTTGTACAGCATTTGCCACCATGAGAAACATATTGTCTGTTGGTCTTTCCTCTCCCCTCAACACAACATATCCCCAGAGAACAGGAACAGTGATTTGTTCACTACCATATCTACAGCATCTGGCACCAAGCAGGCATTCAATAAATACCTGCTAAATGGATTTTCTTTATTTTACTCTTTTAGCTCACATACATTCTCCCTGTGCATCTCCATACTGACACCAAAGCACAATGAAGGTAGAAAGAATATTCTCTAACTTCCTCTTCTCCTTGATTCTAGCAAAGAAAAGGACTCTGCAAAAAGTCAATGTCAATTGAAGCAAGTGCCCCAAGAAGTTCTGCTAATCCTGCAGTAATACATCTAGGACTATACCTTACAGACCAACGTGTGAATGTATTTCAACTTAGTGGTTCTGTTGCTCTTGAGAAACTCACTCTGTATGGTTCCCAGAAATATTCTCTAAGAGTTTCCTAAAGGGAGGAGAAATCAACAGCAATGCCCAGTTATGATTTTGAAGTGAAACAGATTTACTCTGGCTTCACTGACTCCCTTTCCAGCACCTAAAGTCAAAGGGCAGAAAAGAAGGAAAGATACTAAGACCCAGTGATTATTAATAAAATGATATTAATGAATATATTGCTTAGTACCTTTCCTGAGTCTTAGTACCTCATTAAACTGACCACAGAGCCTTAGTACTTTTCCTGGGTCTTAGTACCTCATTAAACTGACCACAGAGCCCCAGTTTCCCAAGGTTACTTTGCAGTTTAGAATCTCTGTAGCCAAAGACATTCACTGTCCTGAATAAGAGTCTATGGGACCCTTTAAATCCTAAGTCTGGCTCAAGAGGAAGCAACCCAGACATACATAGAAATGAGAGGCGGTGGGCCACTTAATTCACTGGAGATCTAGAACCTAGTAAAAATAAAACTCTGAAATATAATTAAATAAGCAGTACGGTTCCTGATCCATAATTGTTCTTGGTCTGTCACTACAATGGAATGCACCATAGAAAAAAAATTTTAATAAATAAATAATAGCATCAGTTCCCAGGAGCTGAGGGCTTTGGGCAGACTTTGAGACACTCTAAGTCTCTGTATTCTGTTTTGGTGCTTGCTACCAAAGTGTCCTACTAAACTGCCTGCCAAGCAGCAATGACGCAGAGCCCTAGCAATTCATTCAACAAGCTACCACGAACGGAAGGCTAATTTAATGGGGCAAGGCCAAGCGCAGTTAACAAACTGCACATCTGTAAGATGGAAATACGTTGTCCCCAGTCTTTAGCAGTAACTCTCCTTGCTAAGTAGCTCTAAAAGCGCTTCAAAGCCTTTCTCCTCCTTGGTGTATAGCTGCCAATGAGTTCACTTCACTTCCATCTGTGGAAAAGAAGAGGGAGGCAAAATGTGGGGCTTTGGCCCTGCACCCACTAGAGCTGCCAGGGATTGAGAAATCAAGCTGCCTCTAACCCCTTGCCTGGAGAAAGGACCTAAGCAATCATGTTCCACTTGTCGTTAACCTATGTACCTTTCTGTGTCCCTTTCCTTTTGCCCAAACCGAAACCAAATCATGGTACATGAAAGGTGAGTCCAAGTAGGCATGCAATAAATATTTGCTAAATAGATTTTCTTCATTTCACTCTTTTAGCTCTCCCTGCGCTTCTCCATACTGACACCAAAGCACAATGAAGGTAGAAAGAACATTCTCTGACCTCGTCTTCTCCTTGATTCTAGCAAAGAAAAGGACTCTACAAAAAGTCAACATCAATTGAAGCAAGTGCCCCAAGAAGTTCTGCTAATCCTGCGGTAATACATCTAGGACTATACCTTACAGACCAACGTGTGAATGTATTTCAACTTAGTGGTTCTGATGCTCTTGAGACACCCACTCTCTATGGTTCCCAGAAATATTCTCTAAGAGTTTCCCAAAGGGAGGAGAAATCAACAGCAATGCCCAGTTATGATTTTGAAGTGAAACAGATTTACTCTGGCTTCACCGACTCCCTTTCCAGCACCTAAAGTCAAAGGGCAGAAAAGAAGGAAAATTTGTCCCAGGTTCCCTGCATTCCATCTGAAATGCTGCT